TTTCTCCCTCGTCTCCTCTCTCCCGGGCTCGGCGACTCAGCTTTGTGTCAGTCCCTCCCCGAAGTCTCCTCGCAGCCTCCCCAGACCTTTCTTGATAAACCTGCTACCTCTTGACCTGCCGGAGACCCCTCCTCCCGCCCAGCCTTTGTCTGCGGTAGGGTGTTGTCTAAATTTGCAACCGTGCTATACCAAGGGGAAGGCATCAGCTCTGCAGATGTGTTTTCTAAATCCTGCTTCAGTATCAAAATCTTTTAAGAACTGGATGGTCAGCAAACGACGTGTGTTTACTCGCGGGAGGGAGGCTCTCAACAGAAGCACAGATGGGTGATCATGAGTGAGTGCTAGATTCTAGTTGCCTGCCATCAAAATTTTGGATTTTTTAAAAAATGAAATATCAAGAAATTTAAATTCAATTTACCGTGTTAGAGCTGTCACTTGTAGCTAAAACGTTGTGGATCTGTTGCCTAATTTTAGGCATTTACAAAGCATGCAAGCCAGAGATCCACTTAAACATAGAGCACTACATGGAAATGAATAAAGATCAGTTTCCTATTGTACTAGCTGTGTGTGCATCAAGCACACAATGCTCACTGCCTGTGTGTTTGAGATGGGTTTCAGAAGCTGTTATTAGTAAGGTCTCAGATACATTTTGGTAGATTTCTGGGGTTGCTGTTTCAAGGAGATTTCCTGAATTGTAATTCTCAAAGACCCCTGCTCCAACAGTAGCCTGATATTATCCCAGGTAATGACGTTATCTGGATAATGACATTCATGTATTTACGCTCACACAAAGACCAGGGGATGTGATTGGGTGTAACTATGAATGCCACGGTCCTAAAAATCCCCCTGGTTTGGGGTTTCCATATTGTTCACATGTAGGTAAAGACAATAACCCCATTCAGGATACATGTTTTCGTAGAGGGGTGGAGATGGGACAGCTAATGAACCCTTTAAAAATAAGCTGGATGAAATATTCTTCAGATTTACTTAATGTCTTTGTTAGCTGTCTGTATTGTGAAGTTTTTCTAGACTGGAGGTTTTAGATGTGCTTTGATACATCTCAGTGAGCTCTGGCTCCTGGTAGAAGTGGTTTCATACAGAGTTAGTCAGGATGTTACTTTTAGAGATAAATTGCAAGGCTAAGAATCTTCCTGAAACAGCAAGCAGCATAAGGTGGTAGTTTATGTTGACACTTCTCTTTCCTTGAGCATGGGCTCCTGCTGCACACAAATCTGCTTTAGGCCTTTTTCCTTGTTTATTTTTGATAAAATATTTATTTGCATTCTGTGGGAGAGGTTTCAACAGCTGTGAAGTACAGCTGAGAACCTATAGTGCTACTTTGCAAGTTTAAAGCTACATCTGTATAGCTCACAAACGTGCATCAAAACACATCATCTTCCTGCACTTTCTTCTGGTTTGATATTGCTGAAAAAAAATCCCAGATTTTGCCCTATTCTTTTGTTTAATGTTGCTGGGGGTGCACTGGGAATTTGTTCGTCACCCAGGTACTTGTCTGCCAGTATTTTTCTCTTCTCTTGTGGCTCTTTGTGTGGTTCTGTGCTGCATTTTGGTTATGCAGAGGAAGACTGAGGGTTTGGGAATCCTAGGGATATAATCTTCCCTCTTACAGCCTTTTCTTGTCAGGAGTTATTGTGTATTTTACACAGTAAAGGATTGTGGTTGGGGGGGTTATATTTCCCTTATTTTAAATTCTTTTATTTTTTTATAACTTTTCTGCAGTGGTTTCTGGTGACAGGCTTGGAAGGGCATTGAACAGAGCTTATTTTGGCATTCCCCTACCTTTCAGAAATTTGTTGTCAAGCATATACCTTTGTGTATCCTTGTATTCATGGAGCTAATAATTCCAGAGTGTTCCCAGCATATTCCTGCTGTTATGAGTTAATATGCTTCTCAGACATGAAGAATAAGTTGAAAGTGTGTGAACTGGAGGTGATATTTAATATATGTCAAATGACACTATAGCCTGGCTGATTTGATGTGGAAGGGCTGAGTTGTACTGACAACACTTAAAGTAAGAACTACTGCTCTATGTGTGGTGCACCTAGGCCAGGCTGTCCCTGCCAAGGAGCTGGGAAGAAAAGTTCTCTTAAGGCCTGAAGGGGTATTTTTTTGTAAAAAGCATATGTTTATGTAAGGGAGAGGAGTGTCACCCAAAGATGGAGGATTGTTAGACATGGGAAAATCCAGTGAAAATAGGTGCAGACATGCAGTAGGGTTGAATGGGTGTGGGGTACTGAGGGGGAAGAAACTATTGGGGAATCTTAAGTTAGTTTATGGAGAGAAGACAACTGAATAAAAAAAGGGGAATGATGGAGAAAGGAAGGATTAGGAAACCAAGAGAGGCTGAGTTAGGGATAGGCATTAGTTTCCTTGAAGCTCTGAAGCTCAGGGACAAATTCCTTGAGCAGAGTGCAGAAACTGCATGTAGCAAGATGATTCTTGTGCCAGAAGTAAGTAACAGGCAAAGAGATGCTGCTCCTGTTTTGCTGGTTACCTTCCTTGCTTTCTCTGTATGGTTGCAGCTTTTTTTACATGCTTACTGGCTGTATTTTTTATTAAGCAATGTTGTAATTTTTTGATTTTAGGAAATATAAATTCTTTAAAATGGATGGTAATGAAGAACAATTTGTATATGCTCTGGGGTTTATTCCCCATGGTTCTTCCCCTCCCCTCCCCCAAAACTGTCACATAATTTGATCTGGAAAGTACTTCTAATGGAGAACAAATAAAGGGACACAGATTCTGTGGCTTTTACAAGAGGTTGTCATGCGTGGCCTGACCAAGCAGTTCCTCACCATGCTGAAGAGAGTGTGCTGCATAGTCTGGTGCTACCATGTGATGTAATTCTCATTTACAGTAATTTTCACACCTGTCTTAATTGTTTGCTGTGATTTAATTAACTTTAGTAGATGGATGATCTCGTTGCAGTCTCATTTAATCAAGGGTCTCATTTGAAGGGTCTCATTTCAGTCTCAGGAGGGATATGTACTTTGACTGTAGTGTGAGCTCCCTGGTCATGAGGCTTATGTAATTATAGATAGATTTTTCCTTGCTCTGAGCTTTTATTTTGCTGTACTTGATCTTTTGAAGACCTGGAAGTATCTGCTTGTGTCTTTCTTAGGAAGATTCTAAAACAGACAGAAAAGTTGTTACTGGGACCTTTTAAGTCTTAGAAAGCTGTGAGTAATTAATATTTGGCTGCTGGGTTGAAATGAATACATGGTTATTTTGGAAGGCTATTGGTTCTTTGCTGCAAGGTAGTGTTAGATAATGTGTCAGCATCTGTTACTTTAACAAAAGGAGTTCTCGGTCATGATGTATTTTTGTATGCATTAGGGTTTTACAGTACTTACTTTTTTTTGCTTGAGAATGAAGTTCACATTTTCCAATTTCAGCAAACGTGATACAATTTAATCTTAGGTTGCTGCCATTGTTACATTGCTTTGAATTATTATGAAAAGATTTATCTATTAGGAGCCCCTGCCGAGTGCCATTTTGCCATGGGAAGGAATACTAATAAACAGTTACTTCCAGGAATAGCTATTAATCCTTCCATGTTTTTTCAAGACATATCTATTATGGTTAGAAGTCTTTATTTTTCTAAGTCTGACAAGCATGTCTTTTAGATCTGAAGCAGGGAAACAAGGGCACTAATCCCCAGGTCTCAGTGATGCAATTCTAAACTGCTAAAATTTTAAACAGTGCTGGAGTTTGTGTGATTTTTTTCTTTGTTTCTATTCACTCAACCCCAACAAAGAAAAAAAAAGGCATGGAGTAAAAGCTTTTGTCTTTAAGTATATAATTATCAGGTAGTAAGGTTAAAATTACTTACCACTTCAGTATGCAAATGCTCAAAGGCATTTTACATTCCATAAAAAGCAAATGCCACTACAGTTGGGTTTTCCATCACACTTGTAGGTTTAGACCTCCAAAGGACTGGGTATTACTGGTGAGTTGATTAGCATGGATGTTAAATACTTAAAACCTTGCAGGATTATAATCAGTTTGGGTTTTCTGTGTGTATGTATATATATATTTTATATGTGTGTATGTATATATATATTTCTATGTTAAAACTGTTTGGCTTCGTATTCTGGAAAGATGAGAAGCTATGCATAGCTTAATTCTAAACATGGAACCAATAGCATTGTGTTAAGTTGTGTAGGGAAAATAAAAGAGGGCTTCATCCTTCATGCCAGCCGGTGGGAGAGAGGGGATGTGATCTGTGCTGTGTTCAGCACCTGAGGTCTGGACAGCGGCATTTGAAGGATCGAGGAATTGTACGTTCAAACTGTGGGATGGAAAGCAAATTAAACATTTTACTGTTGATCATGTTCTGGCATACTCCAGTGCCATGTTGGGATCCACTTGAGATTATGGTATTTTATGTAATATTGCATGAACAATTACTAGGCCTGCTTCATAACAAGTAAAATAGTTTGCTCATATGGCCAAAATAAAATCTAAGCTTAAATAACAGTACTACCAAATGTGTGTTATGGTCTGAGGAATTTGAAAAAAAAATATTCTTGACAGTAAAATAATTTTCACACACCAAACTTATAAATTAGTTTTGATTGACCTAATGTCAAGAAGCTGGCATAGATGAAAAGAAACTGTCTGTGGATGTGTATTTTTCTGTGGATGCATATGACAGTTTGCAGTGTACTAGTATAGTTTGCAGACCAGTGAACTATATGAATATTAGTGAAATAAGTTGTGCCAGGCTACATCATTAAAGAGAACATTACTGCATTTTAAAAGCATTTTGTCCGTGTATTCCTTACCACGTTCCTTGAATCCACTGTGAAGACAAAATTCACCAAAACAGGTTGAAATGTAGTTGTTAGAATAGGAAGATAAAATTTTGTGTTCTTGTTTTAACTGTGGGATTTTTGTGTTTGGGGTTTTTTGGCTTTTTTTTGTCTTCTGAGCTAAATGAAGTAATGAGTTTTTTTGTGTTTTTTTTTTCTTTCTAGGGGTTGATACAAAATTGAAATTCACTCTTGAGCCATCTTTAGGTCAAAATGGTTTTCAGCAGGTAATTTGATTTATTTTTTTTCTTGAGTTTGTGAAGGAGTGGGTTCTCAGCAATCAAGGTGCTTGCCTAGCTCAGAAGTGCATTTTTCATCATAATATCAGCATATTATTTGCAATTGTATCAAGAGCTGTTTCATTTGTATTCAGAAAATGGAATAGGCTTTCATTGTTTGCTCAGATATTTCCTAAATCCTTGTGTCCCAGAATATTATACTTTAGTCGAATCATCAGGTAATGATTTGATAATCTGCATCTTCCCTGTGAGTGGATTAAGCAGTTAAACTCTGACATGTGTGCAGCAAAATGAAATGAATGTGCATGTCTGCAAGGTAGCAAATGTTGCTATGCTGTAGCATTAAACTAATGATGGATATTTTACATTTTGGGATGCTTTTTCTTTTAGTGGCATGATGCCCTCAAAGCAGTGGCCAGACTGCCCACAGGCATCCCAAAGGAATGGAGGAGAAAGGTAGGTAGACCTCCGTGCCTTGTGGGCCATATTGCCTGTAGGTTTCTCAGGAGAGCTGAATTACATCAATATTATCTGCTAGTGGGTTTTGTAATGAATATTTGGACCTTTTAAGTTGTACTGGGGGTTTTTCCTTGCTTTCATTATTCAGTGACAGCTTCACAGTGCAGATGGAAAGGCTGAGGAGACGGGTAAATATGATGTTTTCAATAGCTGGGTTCTTTCTGCTTGAGGCTTAGGTAACTTGTTCTGGTGCAGATGTTATTGCCTCATACTGTCAGTCTCAAGAAATTGCACTGAGATTGCCCCCACAGCTGAAGATAACTGAAAGGAGAACATATCTGCAGTGTAGGATGTCACACTTACAAAGGTGAAGTTGATAGATGCTTAATGTTGACAAGAATGCTTATAGAAACAGTGTTGGGGAAAAGACAGATTACCAAAATTAGGGAAGTTCAAAGTCAGGAGTGATGCAGAATGGCAGAGTGCATCATTAATGGGAAATTGTGCTGAGTGTTGTAGAAAAGGCTCCATTGTGATTTTGCCAGACTTACTTTATTGCATTCTTCAACATTTGAAGTCCCCTAGTATAAAAAGAGGCATGTCTATTAATTTTTTCTTAAAAAATGAATCACACAATCTCAGCTTTAAAAACACAGTTTTAATAAAAATAAATTTTTAAAAGATTTATAAAATATGTAGTTCCATGTATAATATATAATAATATTATATATAAAAATTATAAATTATAATTGTGTACTTGTAATAAATTATAATTTTATATATTATATAAATTATATATATTATATAAATTATATATATTATATATAATATATAAATAATATAGTTCCACATATTTCTGATGTATCAGCTTAATTTCTTTTTCCTGTTTTTTCTGTCTTTCCAAACCGAATTGTACTTCTTTACAAATCAGGGGAGAAGGAAGAGAAGACTTCATGGCATTGTTTTCTTCACACCACGATGAATTTATTTTTAATATACAACTTCAATGAATCCTTATACCCATCTAACAGCCTTTTTTCTTTCCTGAAATATTCTTTTCCCACGCTCCAGAAAGTGTCTCAGGGACTTTTCTTTGGTACATGAGTGGCAGAGGTCACAGAATCTCAGAAGGGCTGAGTTTGGTGGTACCTCTGGAGTCATCTGGTCCAACCCCTCTGCCCAAGCAGGGCCACCTACAGCTGGTTGCCAAGGACTGTGTCCTGGTAACTTCTGAATATCTCCAAGGACAGAGATTCCACAACCTCTCTGGGAAATCTGTGTCAGTGCTCAGTTGCCCTCACAGTGAAGATGTGTTTCTTGATGTTTGAGGAGAACCTCCTGTGTTTCTGTTTGTGCCTATTGTCTCCAGTCCAGTCACTGGTACAGATGACAAAGCCTGGCTTCCTCCTCCTTGCACCCTCCTTTCAGGTGTTTATACACACTGGCAGGATTTCCCCAAAGCTGCCTTTTCTCCATTCTGAATGGTCCCAGCGCTCTCAGCCTTCCTGCATAGCAGAGATACTTTGCAGCTGGGTGTCCCCAACATATATTGATGCTTGGGATTGTTTCTCCCCAGAGACAGGATATTGCTCTTCTCCTTGTTGAACTTAAAGAGGTTCTTGTCAGACCATTTTTCCATGCTGTCAAGGTGTCCTTGGGCTTATCAGCCACTTCCCCAAATTCTGTGTAATCAGCAGACTTGTGTGTGCTCTGCCACATCATCCAGCTCAGATCTGTTTTTCCTTTTCACTCTGCCCATCTCTGTGTTTGCTCACACGCTCACATGATGCTAACCAATGAAGAAGTGATGACAAGAGGTGTTGTCTTTTTACTGCCATTCCCCGGGTTCACAATGAATTTAAGGTAGATACCAAAATAGAGGAAGTATTTTGTGGTGGCAGCCTGCTGATTGCCTCCTTTGCTGTCAACAAAAGGAACAGGTTGACATCTGCACTATTGTTGTGGCATGTGGGCTGGCAGAGATAAAGAATCCAGTCAAACAACATCAGTAGGGTGTCAGCAGTGCTGAGGCTGTTGGGAGGCAGAACAGTGGCATTCCTCCACATGAGTGGATTTACAAAAGTGTAGAATTTAAATATTAAAATTTAAATATTTAAATGCAGAAAACATGAGATTCTGTGAGCTGTCTATAAATTCCTTCATCATGCAGCTATCTCAGTGTTTAAATCTGTGGGAAGTGTCTAAATTTCTTTTCTCACTTGAGTGAATTAATGGCTGATATAAAACTTGATCAGTTTGCTTTCATGATTTCTTTCAGTTTCCTGAAAAAAAGGTCCTTTGTTGTTACTTGTTGTCATTGTATGATCTGTCATGTGCCTTTCATGGTTCAGGAAGTTTTCAAATTTTTAATAAAGGTCCAGCCTTTGTCTTGGATACACATGCATAAATCTGTTCTGGAAATTATTAGGCTATAAGAGTTGTGAATAAGTTTGTTTCAGAACTCCCTGTAGCACCAACAGTTTAGGAAGCCCTCTTGTAAGAGTAAGCTGTTTTGATCCAAGTCATGCTTTCAGATCAATCCCAAATGGTGGGATGCTATTTGTTCTGCAAACTCATCAGAAGAGACTTCTGATAAAGAGAAGCACCAACACTGCTGGATTTCTTTTGGGAATTCCAGGAGACGTATCCATGGTTGAGTTTGAGGAAAGCCAGCAGCAGTGTTATCCTTTTATCAAACTCTTTGTTGGTTATGAGGATAGAAGGTCTGAACTGACAGAGGGTCCTTGCCTTGTGTTTCCATTTTGGAGGGCTCCTGTGAATTCACTGACAGCTGACTTGCATCTTTGTAAGCAGCCCACAGATCTGGATGTTTAATGCTGACCATTTCCTTCCTTTCTATTCTAGGGAGCAAGGTATTAATTTAATTGTGCAAAAACTGTTCTGGCTAAAATCCTCCTCTGCATATTTCAAATTTAACAGCAGATCACATATGAAGCTGATGAGGTTCATCTAACAATATATTTTGACACTTTATATTTTATCAGAGGAATAATTAATTTTACCATATGTTTTTCTAGGTTTGGTTGACCCTGGCTGATCAGTACTTACACAGTATAGCCATTGACTGGGACAAAACCATGCGTTTCACGTTCAATGAAAGAAGTAATCCTGATGATGACTCTATGGGCATCCAGATAGTAAAGGTAGCCAGCTAATTTGTTATTTCTTTTCTAATTTTTACATGAAAAGTTGACATTTGAATTTGGATTTATTTTCGTCTCTGTAACTGCTTTGGCAAAAAATGTATATTAATTCCCTTTTTTTTTTGGCTGCTTTGTTCCTTTTGCACTAGTCTGGTTAGTGTTGGCTGGGAAAAAGATGCTATTTCTGGGTTTTTTTTCTTTCATTTTTACTTTCTTTTGATTTTGAAAAAAGTGCTGGAGTTAATGAAGACAAAAGAACATAAATGGGTTTTTTCTTTCTCTGTAAATAAGCACAAATGTTTTCTGGGAGTAAAAGCATATTTTAAAATACAGCAAATGAGCATTCTTCACTTGTTTTACAGGAGTGAAACACATTTGCCTATTTGTATTTCTCAGCTGATTAATGTTTAATATTTAAAGCAGTCAGCCATTTTGTACATTTTGCCTTTAACTTATATATCACTTAAATTTCAAGGACACAGTTTGTGGCTTGTGTGTTTGGAAAAGTCAGTTGTCTACTAGTTCTTTTATACTTCGATAAAAACATACTTTTTTGTTCAATTAAGCAGCTGTTGTGCCTTGCCTGTTTGAAACCCAGAGATTTATTAACATCTTCTGTGGCAATGCGTTATAAACATCTTTTAGGGGACTTGTTTACTTAAGAGCTTGGTGAAACTATTTCTTTTGGGTAAGATAAAGGTTTAACAGCCTAAAAAAGAAACGTTTTCATCAACTTTGGGAGTATGTACTGGGAGGGTGGAGATGGAAGGAAAACTGGGACAGGAAAGAGAACTAACAGGGGACAGAAAATACACGTTTTCTCTGCTTGTCTTGTAATTTTTAATTTTTTTTTTTCCTTTAAAGGACCTTCACCGAACTGGCTGCAGTTCTTACTGTGGCCAGGAGGCAGAGCAAGATCGAGTGGTATTAAAACGTGTTTTGCTGGCTTATGCCAGGTGGAATAAATCTGTTGGCTATTGCCAAGGATTTAACATACTAGCTGCACTTATTCTGGAAGTAATGGAGGGCAATGAAGGGGATGCCCTGAAAGTGAGTAAAATTTCTTTTAGAGTCGAAGATTGCTTTTACTTAGTGAACTTTAGAATAAACCAATGTGTGAATTTTGGAGACAGACTAAAGAGCACAACTCAAAAGAGTTAGCTGATTTATAGTTGTGAACTTTTTATTTTGTTATCCTGTCTCAGCTAAAATGAGTAGTTTGAATGTTATCAGTGTCACATTTTTTGTTGGAAAAAAAAATAAAAATGGGACCACTGCTACTTACTATAGGATATCTTATCCCATAATCCCAAATCTGCTAGCAAACTCTATAGATAGCTGAAATATTAAAATTTCATGATCAGAATCTTATGTGGGCTCCATGTGAAGCAGTTGATAAATTGGCTAAATTTCAAAGCAAATTCTAGGGAAACACTCAATATTCAAAATGAAAGTAAGTCACTTTGAAGCTAACTTCTGGACTAGGTTAGTCTTACATTGTTTTGTTTTCTTAGATAGTTTTTATTGTAAATAAAACAAAGCTTCATGAAATTTATAATATGTCAGAAAATGGAAATACTTTAGGACAGGGCATGGTTTAAAGTTTGGCAAGATCATGTGCAATTTCCTTTAATAAATTTGCTCATATGTGTGAGTTGGGGTCAAATTAATAAAAGATGGCTGTGACTCTTCAGATACTGAGCTGTTTGTTTTGCCTCAGACAATGATTTAAATATGGAAAATATTTAAATTCGCTCCTAAATAGTGCTCCTATTATTATAGAGCTCCTAAAATATAAAGCTTGTGGCAGTAGAGTCTAGCTAGCTGATAATTAATCCTTCATTCTAGACAACTGCCTGTAATAGGAAGAAAATACCATAATATAGCAACTTTATATCAGAAAGTAAAATTTCCTTTCAATAATTCTTGCTTAAGATTTCATCAATATTTTAACAGTAATTTACCACATTATCCTATAGGAAATAGGATTGCCCAAGGTTTACGAAGTCCAAGTTGATGGTTAGAACTGTGTGCGTCCTTGTGTTGTCTGTTATTGTGAGTTGTGTCAGGCTCCTTGTGTGGAGGAGACAATGAAAGGAGCCAGGCTGCCCCAGGGAGGTAAAGTCCTCAAGGCTGTTTGCACCAAAACTGATCTTACCTGGCAAAAATAAGAATGGGAAAAAAATTATTTCTTTTCCAAGCTTAGTGTGGGCTTTGCAGGGTTGGAATTTTCCCAGAAGACGGAGGGAAGAGGGGAAGGGCAGGGAAAGGAGCAGGGTGGGTGGGAGGAAATAAGAATTTGGTATTAGTATGTGATGGTTTTGCTGTAGTCACTGCCACCTAATGGAAGCAGTGAGTGAACAGTTAGAGAGGCCTGTAAAGGTGCCCTGAGGATTGTAGCTGTGGGGTAGCTGTGCTGGGGTTATTGTAGAATCTGGGGTTAAGGGAGCAAGGGTAGATCTTGCCGGTCAGGTCCCATTTCTGGGGAGGACATTATAAACAAAAGGTCTGTGTCTGGGAAGCATCTCCCAGGGGCTAGGAAACAGCAGGTTTTACTGATGCCAAGGGGCTTTAACAGCACAGGACCCAACATGGTAGCTTCAGTGAATGCCCAGCCAGTGATACTTGAGTGTTAGCTAGTTAAGGTAAGCATTAAGTTAAATCCCTGGAGATGCCTCAAAGTTAGCCTACAGAAATTATGGTAAGCAAAAAAATCCCATCTTGCATGAGTAGAAGCTATTAAAGTCATAGATACTGAAACTTAAAAAAGTTTTTCTTGCATGTTATTGCTTGGAAATGCTACAGAATCAAATAACAAAAATAAATATGTAGAGATGTGTTAGGAAGAAAGTTATCTGTTGCAAACTGGTAAATACATGAACTGCTTTTTTAAAAAAAGTCTTCTCAAAGCAATTCACATGTTGGTGGAACAATGAACTTATATGTTGAAAAAGATTTCTCTTCTTCTCTGTGCTCTCATATATCAGAGATCAATGAAGGGATACTATTCAGTGGGAAGGGAGCAAAGGCCTTTATAGAATGGTGTCTTTAACATGGGGGTTTATAGCTTATGTCATAAGGAATTAATGAAAACACAAATAGAATTAATGAAAACACATTGCAAGTTAATGTTGCTATAGTAAGTTACTCTTCCATTGGTTGAAATATATCTGAACAAAATAAAGCATATTTTCACAAGACTGTGGGGTAACCCACTATTCAGCAAAGGTTACATAATGCATCTGACAAAATACAAGCCTGTCATTTAGAAGCTGTTGATTTGCCTTTTTTGACTACTGTTCCACATGCTTTAAAACATGGAACATAAGACTGCTATTGCTGGAGAAATCTTTCAAGGACAAGTGGCAGTGTGTGGTCACAAGCAGCTGGGAAAGAAAAGAAAGCAGCAAGACTCTGTCAGGTGGTGCTCTTGGTAGTCCTGTGTCTGAGGAGCTGTTTCTGTGGGCCTCTTATGGAAAGATAGGGATTGGAAGGAGGACTGTCTCCTGTATGTGAAGGTGCAATGCTTCTCTTGAGAATGAAAGTCTTTATGAAACATGGTAAGGGTGCTCATATGAGAGGAATGTAGAAGAGATGCAGATGGGATGACTGCAGGCTCTCTGGATGGGCTTAGTAGAGTGGCCACAGAGATCCTAAAAGATCCTGAAGTGAAAGGTCAGTGTCTTCTGTTAGGCTGATTATAATCATCAGCTTCTGCATATTTTTTGTTGCATTTCTTTGTTCTCAAAAGTTTGACAGTATCATTTAATTCCTTACCATCCATGTAGTTGAGCTACCCCACTTGAAACAGATGTCTGCTTAAAATGTCTCACGCTGCTTAATTTAGCACCTTCCAAAGTGACAAGATGGAGTGCAGCATATGGTAACAAATCACAGTAAAATATATGGAGAATTTCTTTTTAAAGAACAGTGCCTTGCTTTTTGGAGAGGCAAAATAGGGGATTTGCAAAATCAGTCTTCTAGTTATGGCATTAACCAGAGAAGGGATAGTGAGACTCTCTAGCAGTGGAGGATCTCATAAACAGTTCCAACATCAGAAGTGTCAAAAATTGCTTTTGGTGGGGGTAATGCTGCCAGCTTGGGCATAGCTTACTGTGACATTGATTTCAGTCATTGATTTCAGTAATTTCATGGTTCATAAATTCTGGACAGTTTCAAGAGGCCTTTGTATCTTGAATGTTTGTGAATACCTAGGGTACCTGAGGATGCTAATATTTTCTCCCCATATAAATGGAGGTGCCATAAGCATGGGCTGCCACTGGGTCCAATTCATTCTTTAGTGAACAGAGAAATTTTATTTTTCTGTTATTCCTAGAAAATAACTGCTTTGTAAGTCCTACATGATAGTCTTTCATTCTGCCCACAGATCATGATTTACCTAATTGATAAGGTGCTTCCTGATAGCTACTTTGTCAATAATCTCCGTGCTCTCTCTGTGGATATGGCTGTTTTCCGAGATCTTTTACGAATGAAGCTTCCTGAACTGTCCCAGCACTTGGACACCCTACAAAGAGCTGCTAACAGAGAAAGTGGAGGTATGTTCAACAGAAAATGCTGTTCAACTCTGTCTTGCTGTTGTTTCATCTGAACACTGATTTAAAAATACAATATTTTAAGTGTTTACATGAGTTTATTGATTAGAATATGTATTTAAAATTTTTAAGATGAAATGTGATGGTCTCTGTTACTGATAACCTGAACACAAATAGGTGTACTTCCAGGAAAAAACAAAGGGAAAGAATTTGGTCCCACCAGTAGCTGCAAACAGAATTGGGATTGACAAGAATATACAAAGCATGGAGTGACAACACTAACACTTAGCTTAGTACAAGGGCTGCCTTGGAAAGGTAATTTCTTGCCTTAGCTCAGGATAGGTGTCCTCCTACTGCTCTGTGTAGTTTCTGGCTCATATAGCTATTCTGGGAAGAGTTACAGTATGGGAGCCAGTGAGGGATGGTTAGTATTTCTTCACCTGGATCCTTACCAATATACAGGTACAAAACTCAGAAGTATATCTTGGGTTCCTACCTGAAAACTGGCTTTGCATTGTGATTTTTTTTCCCTGGCATAGCATTCCATCCAGACTTACAGCTCTTTTATTTGGGGATGTTCTGGAGAGGGTAAGAGGTTTTTTGTTAGTTGATTTGGTTTCTTTTTCAGTTGGGAAGCTAAGTACACCCTGAGTTCCACCTTAGAAAATATCTGCTGCAATGTTCCATGTGTCTATGCCCAAACTGTATAAAAAACAAACAAATGGTATCAAGGAATTATTTCCTGTTTGAAAGTGTTTTCACAGGCTGGCCTCTCTGGTCATGGCCTTCAGTGCATCAGTTGATACTGGGGTGCACAAAGTGTTCTCTCAGCATAACGAAAAAGTAACATTTTAGAGTTTCAGCCGGAAATGCTACATTTTGTTTGAAACTTAACAAGTACACCAGGATATTAAAACAATACATATGACTTACAGAGATGGTCACCTTCACCTTATCACCATGTAGATAAAGACTTATGCCATCAGTTGGTGAAAAAATGCAGCATTTTGTGGCGAAGTTGGTGGGTTTGGTTTTTTTTTTTTTTGATAGAAGCTTTTATTTCATATGGCTTTGGGGAAGGAGAAACAGTCTTTCTGAAATAAAGGAGAAAAGTGCGGTGGTGTATTCCAGGGTTTATAGTCCAAAGCCAATGATGCTGCTTAGTTTTTTGCAGTGCAGCATAATGGAAGGTGATTATGTAACTTTTCCATTGTTCTCAGCTTATCTTTGGACAGCTGCAGAATAAGTAAGTTTTGAGCAGTAACAGAGCTGCTAGAATGTATGGTGGATTTTATGATGCAGTTTATACTCCTTGTAAACTGATAGTAAATTGCAGTTACTTCAAGTAATCTGATTTTTGCTTGTTTGTTTTTTTAACTTCAGGAGGCTATGAACCCCCACTTACGAATGTCTTCACAATGCAGTGGTTTCTGACACTGTTTGCCACCTGTCTGCCTAACCATACAGTTCTGAAGATCTGGGATTCAGTATTCTTTGAAGGCTCTGAAATTATACTGAGAGTAGCTTTGGCTATCTGGGCAAAGCTAGGGGAGTAAGTAGTAATTTTTATTTGATTTTCAGTATGAGCCATGTTTAACTTTTGTTTTCTTTAAGATGTTCTCAGCTCTAAACAAGATGCAATCTTTCAGGAGAATGATTATTTTGAAAAAGCTGCAAAAAGGACCTTTATGGTTTCTTAAAAACAAATGATTCTGACATCATGTCAGAATGGGCATGATAATTAATTGACCCTTTTTGCAGAAAATGTCTCCAGTTGTTGGAGTTGTCTGTGTATATTGTCTTTGTGCTGTGCTAAAAGGTTGGACTTTCCTGAACATAAAACTCTGAAGGAACTGGTAAATACTCTGTATAAAGGCACACAAAGAGATTTGAGGGTGACCAACTAATTTAGTTGGGTACCTGAAAGTGGGGATGGTAATTTCCTTAGCTTCACTTAAGGAGACTTAAAGATTTGAGCCCATTGGCTTTTGCAGTATGAGAGTTCATTGTTACTAAGGGAATGACCCTGTGGTACATGATTCTTTTCTGTTAAGGCCTGAAAATGAATTTTCCTGAAATTCTCTGCTTTTCAGCACATTCCAACCAAGTTTCTATTATAGTCCTTTGTGGCCTTGGAAACTCACCACATGGCAGAACACAAGAAGAGATGGTTAGTTCTTCAAACCCCTCTGTTGTCAAAGCAAATATTTGCGTTCCAAGGAGTTTACAGTGCTCCCAGAGAAATGAGTTTTGTCACTGGCTTCAGTGGGAGGTGTGAGCTCTGACAGGTCAAGCAGATGTTAGTTCAGCTGGAAACATTTTTCAGCTGGCATCAGCAGCTGCATCGATTTTTTTCTTGTGATGCCTATTAAAACTCATCTTCCTTTTTTTCTCTGAAATTGAACCAGTGGGATTTATGTTCAGTTCAGTCCTTGGAGGTTTCATTTCCTTTTTTCTTTCTGAATAAATTAGCATTGCAGGCCAGTTGCATTGTAAGAGGATTTGTTTAGTACATTTAATTTTTAATCTGAAGAGTAATAATTAAAATAATAATTTCTTGAGAGCTTTTTTTATATTCAGTTCAGTTCAATCAATGAAACTTGCATGAATCATTTGCATTGGGATTAATCTGTATGTAGTCACATAGTGTTTTAGATAAAAAGTTCTTTCAGTAGATCTCTGTACACTTAAAAGTTATAATTGTGAATGCTACAACTCATAACATGATAAAAAGGAAGCTACTACTTTGAAGATTTTACTGTAAAACTTAAAGAAAAATTAAACATGTTTTAAGAAATTGAAAGGAGCAGAATCAAGAAATCTATAAGAATGTGTCCAAGAGAAATAAGCTGATCACTGCACATCTTGTAACTGCTGTTTGTGGGGAATGGGAGAAGGTCTGGTAAAAGACAGGGCACTGTTTATGCTGGGAGAAGATTGTGATTTTTTTTTTTCTCTTTGTCCACCAATAGAACTAGAACAAGGGATTTAAAGAAGTGGGGTCAGAGATAGTGTTCATAGTCTCATGATCTTCATACTTCTTAAGATTCATTCTCAAAATGAAAATAGGGTGAGAAGTGCATTTTTAAAATGTAGGTGGCTCAATCATACTTCTGTTTTGAGGGAGGCTGAAGGAATGGGGAAGTTAAATATAGGGGCAGTAGAGAAGGCAGTATGTGGAGCTCATGAGAGACTAAAGGTAACAGGGCAGGTAAGCCATAAGTTTGTGATAATTGCCTACATACCCACTGTTTATACTATTTTTTAATTATTTTTTTAGCTATGTAATCATTATTTTACCCAAACTGTGTTAAGATTTCAGGAGTTTCATAGCTCACTGGTTGTTATGAGCAGTTGCTGAAGATCAAGGGAAGCTGCTTCTTCTATTGCTTAAGAAAAAAGGCAGTGTATTTTTTTTATGATTCCTGCATCTGGGTTTTAGAGGAGAGGCTACAATATGTAGCCATCAAAGCACTTCCTTGGGATATAAGAAAAACACATTTTTCACTTGACAGGAGAGATGTTTAGCAGCTGACCCTAATGTGTGTAGAACACCAATTCACAAAAGCATATTACTCATATTTCTTTTCCTCTAGATGACACTCTCTCTGTTTAGAATGATTCTGTGCTTTTAGAAATGTAAAGAAAAGTTCAGAAAAAGTATCCAATTGAACCCCGCTTCCCAAAACACGGCAAACAAAAGCATCCTACCAAAGCACACAAACAACCAAAACCAACACTCTTCCCACCCCTAATTTAGAAATAGCATTCACAAATATGATGAGTGAATTTTCCTTCATTGTGCTTTATGTTAGCCTAATTATTTTTTAACACAACTACATATATGAATGCACCTATACTAATTTATTCCATCGTCCTGTCTGACAAAGTTCAGACAGTGAATTTGGCCATTTGGTGCATGGTGAAGAATGAGTGATGAGTTAGTCAAGAAGTCTTTATGCTCGCTTTTTAAGCTGATAAAACCCCCTCGTGCTAGCAGGAGGCAAAATGTATTGATTCTTGTGCAGTAGAAGTGAAAGGGGCAGAGGGAATGGCCTGTCTGGAGATACATTCATCTGTTATCATGAGGAGTCAGGACAGCAGGCTGTAATCAGTGCATCTTTTTACTGCTGCAGCTTTTCCACTGTTGTGTGCATAGTTTTATTATTTGGAAGTCTAGGCAGAACTGCAAATAAACTTAGAAGTTAAGCCATCTAACAGAAATGCATATTTTATGATGACAAGAAGATCAGTTTTGTTTTGAGCATGTGGAATCATATGTAAAAGTCAAATAAAAACTAACATGTATTTTGATGTAGGCAAATTGAGTGTTGTGAAACTGCAGATGAGTTTTACAGTACTATGGGCAAGCTTACCCAGGAGATGCTTGAAGACAGTCTGATTGACAGCAATGAACTTATGCAGGTGAGTAATTGTAACATAAATAATTTTTGTGTTTTCTGTGTTGATTTTTTCAGGTCTGGATTTCTAACAAATTACATTTTTCTTCAAATACTGCAGAAACCTAAATTCTCCCAAGAATAAAAGTTTCAGATAAGAGTTGAGCTAGCATGTCAATGAAACAAGTAGGTGACGTGCAGTTAGAGCTAGAATCTTATTTTTATATGAAATGTAGAGAACCACTAGGTGTCATTTAATAAAAATTGATTCTATGTTGACAGCTGAGTCTTTTGGGATATAATGCTCAATTCCATTTACACAAGATTAGTCACCATTTCTAGGGTGTGGAGTAGTCATCATTTTTAGGGTGTTCTTTGCCTTATTTTAATGTTTTGCTCAGTTTTTTATTACGCTGCATCCTTTCCATTCTACAGACACTGTGGGAAATAAGGGTTTATGAAGTGAGAAGTGTGTAAAAAGTCCTTCATGATTTAAAAAAAACCAAAACATGAACAGTCAGTAGTGTACTGTAAACAAAGACATTTGTAGATAATTGCAGAGCCTGAATTATTAAAGTATATGCCATTGTATGAGAACAAAGACCCACATTGTTCTGGGAAAGCAAAGGGCCTTTAGTATAGTAGATAAATTTATTTATTTATTTACAGTTACACTTATTCTTGTGATATTTTTAAGGTGTTGTCTACTTAGATGCTTTATAAGGACTTAGTGCTGCAGTTCTGGAACTTTCCTTTTGATGAGTTAGAGAATACTGATCAAATGGGAGCAAGTACAGAGAACATAATTCACCTGAAATTTGTACCTGACTTAAGGGAAGGAAAAAAGTCAGTCTGTGAAGCTACAAAAGTTTAATTACAGCTGTTAGCAAGTGACTTCTATTGCCTATTGTTGGAAGACTGTTAAAATACCCTACTTTCAGTTTTATTATTTTGGTCATTGTTATTTTGTCTGATGACAAAGCTCTAGGAATGGGAGAAGTGGGTGTTGTGGCTTTGTTTTGCTTCAAAAATGGAAACGCAGCTGGTCAGAGGTACTCACAAACTTTTAAAAAAAGTGTTAAAGTTCTTCACTAGACAGTTCAGATAGTGAGGATGTGTAAGGAGGGCAGCACAAGCTGACATCTTCTCATTGTGTTTCAGTTCCTGGTCTCCGGGATGGTACAAAATCAAGATGTGGCATTTGTGAATAAGAATAATTTTGGGGAAGCTGAGGTAGTCTTTTGTGACTCTGTGGATTTCTTCCTTTGCTGATGTGTGAAATAAAAGACAAGGCATGGGTAATTCACTGGTTGGAGGGATTTTTTTTAACTCTTGCAGTTACAAATACTAGCAAATTAGCAATCTTTTTGTGCTTCAGCAAAAAATGAGTATTTGGCACAATAGATATGTGTGTTCATAGTGTATGTGTGTATTTTACGGCACTGACAGGAGTGCTAAGATAGGATAGCATTGCCATTGATATGGAGAATGTGGCAGGTTTAAGTTCTGTGTATGGAGGAGCAGTGTGTCTGGTTTATGTGTGTCCTCTCTGTTGAAGAAGCTACAATATAGTTTGCATAGCTTTCTTCAAGTCAAAGGCAGGCACTGGCAGTGTAGCCATCTCTGAGGCCTCCACTCTTTACCTTAAGTGGAAAGAATAAGGAACTACAAGAGTTTACCATCAGGGCATATAAGTGCTACCATGTATGTGGTTGGAGAAAAAAATTAAGAAATATGAACCATTGCATTAATGAAAAAATCCAGGCTGCTTGAACATGCTGGTTTTTAAATTGCTTTAAGGTTTTTCAGAGGAGTCATTCAGAGATGATTTGTTTTCATTTTTTTTTCTTTTCCCCTAATAAAAATCAGAATTATTAATTTACATCTAGTATTTTTTACAAGATGGCTCAAGGACTAGTATCCTACTGTGGGAAAAGGATTATAATATCCCACTCTGCCTTCCCATCACATTTCAGAAGAGCTTGCTGGTGGCAATCATCTCACTTCTCTTCAGACTTGCATAACATTTATATTTGCATCTAAACTGCTTGTCCAGGCTCACTTAAGCCAGCCTAACAGGCACTTCTCAACCACTGGAAAACAAATTGTGCTCTAAGAGCCTTGTTTCTTTTAGGAGTTAGAGGAGGGAGGTACAACTGATCCTTCAGGGGAAGTGTTGGCAGAGCACATGTCTAAAGTAGAACAGGGGACTCATGTCCTCATTCTTTCCACCAGCATGTACAGGTGCTGCAGTTTTATTGCTCCCTTGCAGACAGTGCCTATAGTTAGGGTGGGAGCCTTAAAGCTTTTGCAGATTTGGCCCTTGTGTGACCAAAGTTCTTAACGTTTTACTGAGGAGAGCATGAAGGCATTGGAGGAGCAAACCAGCCTACAGCTTCCTCCTTTTTCAGGTTGAACAGTTTGGGTGAATAAAGGGTAAGCGCTGTACACATCAGATTCTAGGCTGGGTATGTATTGGTTCCAATATGGAGACAGAAGGCTGTAGTCAGGGGTCTGCAGATATTCTAAACAGAGTGTGCTAGACTGAGTCTGTGCTTCCATGCCTTGTCAGAAAGTGAGCACTTTTATGACCAGCTAAACTGATTCAGTTTGTATACCCAGGAACACTGCAGCACAGAGGAGATGAGAAGCCAACTGGAGGAGAGGCATCCCTTTCTATTTACTAAACAGAGGGGAGCAGGGATTAATCCTTCTGTGGTACTCTAGCATTTTGGACCCTCTGCCTAGACAGTTCCCCTGATTTGATGGTATTCACTGTTAACTTGCTACTTAAATAGCACTTTGTTTTCTTTTGGGTTTGTTTTTGCTCTTGCTTTTTGTTTTGTTTTCTTAGTCAAACTGAAATGAAAGAAAATCCTTAAACCAGTGAGGGGCAGCTATGGAGATAAGTAATAAGTTGTCTGCAAAATGGCTTACCCTGTTTGGAAGCCACAGCCCAGCACGTCCCATATGGTGTTCTGCTGAGGGTGTAGACAGCTTTGCATTTTTTGAGTAAGGCAAAGGATTGTCAAATGATTTAAGGTGAGAATGGAGGGGGTTTTGTCCTTGTCTCTGTTCTTGTTCTCAGGATCTGTCCCTTATGTAAATAAGATGCTAATTTTGGCTGCATCATGCTTTTGTGGGTAGGCTATTTCTCTCAGGGACAGTTCCCCAGAATTAACCAAATGGCATCCAAGGCTGTGTAATGACTAGAAAAAGAATGCTTTGACTCTGAATTGTCACTGGGAGGATATCAGAGGTGTTGTCTGGCAACATTTTTTTAACTTTCCAGTGGAACTGGCACTGGCGTAAAATTTGTTTTGTGGATCTCTTAGCCAGGTGGTAAGCAAGGCCTGCAGTTATAACCTGATAACAATAGTTAAGTTAAAATATGTATGCTAAATGAAAGAACTTGTAGCAGATGTGGAAGAGACACAGATTGGAGACAGGCAAAAGCTAAAAGTATAATCTGAAACAGTAGGTGCAAGGAGCAAATGGAGGAATTGGAGTCGACTGTTTCACTTAAAGGGTAACTAGCATATGGAACAAGTTACCTGAGAAGGACATTGACATAAGGAGCAGAAATAAATTCCAGACAAGCCTCTGGAGAGAGTTGAAACATGGAAAAAAAAAATAAAACCTAACAGGAAAGTATGGTGGAGATCAAACAAGCAGGCAGACATGTTGGGCTGGGGGTAGGTCTTTCTCTAGATCATAAAATCCCTTTGTCTGGTGGACCAATGGGAAATCACTGTTCAGGCCCTAGGGAATATTTACCTTTCACAGTAGCACTGTAGTTTAATGGAGTGGCAAAACTTCAGTTCATGCTATGGATTTTTTAAGGCATCTTCCTTTCCTTAGAGGCTGTGCAGGGCTTGAATTGTAAAAGCATTGTCACAAATAGTACCCCTGTTGAGGGGCACTATTGCCCTGTCTCTGTTCAGAGAGGACTGTCCTTCCTGCTCCTCAGTGCTTACATCATTGCCATTAACAAAACTTTTTCCCCCTCCTTATGGCAGGAAATGTCTAGTACTGAATTCATGTTTGCAATTTTCCTCAGTGTACTTAGCATAGGCAAGGCATGGTTCAAGAATGGATTATGTAGAAACTGTTCAGAATTTCCTTTCATCTTAATTGAGGTCATTTGCCTTCAGATGAAAATGTCACTGACTTAAAAGCACAGGAAAAAATATATAAGTGAAGATTTACCGTCATAGCTAATGAGAAAATTTTATGTTGCTGTCTTTCAAAAGATATTTAATTTTCAGGATGTGGAAAAGCTTTAATATTTCAGAGAAATTATGGGAAATTATATTTTTTTCTTCTGACATTGAGACTCAGAATGAATTATTTGGCAGTTATTTGAAAGTTCTGAATAGTGAACAAAAGCAGGGGGAAAAAAGCAACTAAAGTATGTAGGAACAAATCAGCAATGATACTGCAATGAATGTGAATTGTCTTTATGCCAGGCGGGCCGGTGACTTGCAGCAAAAATAATGCTGAAAGGAAATATATTTGCAACTATGTATCTTCCTAAATTCTGAGTATTGATGTAAAGAAAATCTATTAGCATTTTAGAAAAACTACTACCTTTACCCCACCAAATCCCACCTTTAGCCTCAATACCAACCAGCAATCAAAACTATAAATTGAGGGAAGAAAACTTGGATATGTTGGATCCTTCCTCTTTAGTGATGATTTTTGTGTTGATGTGATTTCCTCACACAAGCTCTTGAGCTTCTCAGGTAAAATAATGAACCAGCTAACAGTCCACATCAACTGCCCCTTCCTATCTGTGCTAGTGCTTTGTTGAATACTTGAGCAAAAACTTAGGTCTCCTGGAAAAATCCCCAAATCCTAAATGATGTTTTCATGTAAGTGAAATCATAATTGGAGGAGGATTTCTGGTGTGCTGGCAAGAAGGGGTTGACAATAACTTTTAAATGCGTATAGGAGTTGTAAAGGATCCTGCAGCTCATGTTATCAGTTCCCCTTTTATTTTAACAGAACTGTGTATCTTTCTAGTGAGTCAGTCTCTATTTTTCTTACAGGAAATACTGACTGAATCATCAAACTAGACCATTTTCTTACAGCATGTGAATGTGCAAGAATGTGCAGCCTTTAATCCTGCAAGACTGTCAAAGTCTGTTCATGGAGAAATCTTTTGTGAGACTGTTAATTAAAGCAAAAAGTTTTTAAAGTTGCTTTTTTTTCACCCCCAGACTGTTTACACCATGGCTCAGTTTCCTTTCCCACAACTGGCAGAATTGAGAGAGAAATATACATACAATATTACTCCTTTCCCTGCAGCAGTAAAATCAACTTCATTTTCAGGGTAAGTTTGAAATGCACTGCTTATGGTGTATAAAGTTATTGTTTACCCTTTGCAGATGAAAAGGCAGGTGGATCCTCCCTTGTGTGCTTCTAAAAAAGATAAAAATGCTTGATAATATTCACATTTAAGAATGTATCTTCCTTAATTCTCTTATGTTCTCTTTTGACAGCAGGTTAGGCAGAACCAGAGACAGCGATGAAGAGAATGACTTAGATGATGAAGACTCAATTGCTAATGCAATTGGTTGTCTTGGACCATTAAGTGGGTTTTTGGCACCAGAGCTCCAAAAATACCAAAAACAGATGAAAGGTAAAAGTGACTTCTTTAATTTTGGAAAGCACAGTTAAATCTATATGACCTGGCAGAAATTATCTGCAGTTCTGTCTGTCAAAGCTGCTATGGAAGATGTGTTTTCTGTGCACACAGAGGTTACAGCAGGTACCAAATGACTTGCTCTGTCCTCCATGAAGCTGTTGTCAAAGCCAGGTTGAGAGGCTGTAAGTGTGCAGTAAATGATGGTGTGAGTTAAGGATTTGGCTACAGTAATAGTAACAAAACAAGCCCATAGTGTTGCTCAGACACAAAAAAAGAACCATATTTGAAAAAATTCTACTCTAAATCCATGCATATTTCTGAGACAGCTGTTAAGTGGTCAGCATTTTCTGAAAGGTGTTCCTTTAATAAATTAGCTTGATCTTTATTAACATATGCATGGCTAATACTGGAACCTATCAGCAGTGAGTGAACGCTGCAGGTGATTTCACTTCCCTTTTGGCCAAACCTCCAGATTGTTGTATGTTTTGGATATATTCAAAATGTCACCATTTTTCAAATCCTTCTGCATGGAAATTTCTTGACAGAATTGTATGAACGCCGGTGCAAATTCTCTATAAGCAGTACAAAATGCTGATCCATACAAGAAAAGTAGTAGCCTTTATGAAATGGTACTGGATTAACAGTGATTTCACAGTATCTTGGGAGAGGCCATTTTTATTTATCCCCAACTCACCACCACCTTACCCTCAAAAAACCCCAGACTGATGTAACAAGTTGCTGTTCACGCTTCATCTTTCTTGTGTCTTGGTTTTACTGAGACCTGTAAGCTGCAATTTTCCTTGCTGTGGTGTTTTGTTTTTCCCTTCCTGGGGGACTCTCTACCTGCTGCTTCAAACTAGTACTTAGTCAGAACATCAAACTGCTGTTGCAAACTTAGCCAAAGACAAATAAACATTCCTTGAAAAAGAATTATCCTCCTGACCCTGTAGTGCCAGGTTGGTGCATCAGAAACAGCTGTGAAAATAAACAGCTGTGCTGCTAATGCTCTGCAGCTGTTGGCCAGAGAAACTCTCAAGTTGTCTGATCCTCAGCTGCTCTGTGCCTATCCTTTTTGTTGCTACTAGCAGCTTTCTCCCTGTGGTATTTTCTTTCTTGATGCTTCTTGCTGGTAGCACTAGGTTGGTTGTTTAATTTCATGCCTGCTTGACTGTAATGTATTTTATAACTTGCATTTTTGGCCTCTACAACAATAATAATCTGTTATTGAATTACTTCAGTGGTGGCTCAATGTACTTTTGGATATTTGAGAAGCTATGCTTACAACTTTGGACTGCCATGTTAATTGACTTTTGCACTCTTTAACCTCCCTTCAAACCCCTGATATTCTTAAGCAGTAGTGCTATTTATAATACTTCTTATTGTAAATAGCCCAGCTTAGTTAAATAATATACATATTATAACAAAATTTTAATTGAAGACTACAGTTAAATAAGATGGTAGGAATCAGACACAGACTTCCCTTGGAAATAAGCTACAGAAGTACAGATACACCTCTTGAGTATGCCAATTTATTCCTCACCTCCACTTTATTCCCTCTTTCTACAGATCAGAATGAAGAACAAAGTCTTGGTTCCAGTAACATTGCAGAATTAAGTCCAGGAGCAATAGATTCTTGCAGAAGTGACTATCAGACTGCTTTTAACAGCATGATGATGGAGCGTATGACCACTGATATTAATGCACTGAAAAAGCAATATTCCAGGATAAAGAAGAAGCAGCAGCAGCAGGTTCACCATGTGTATATCAGAGCAGGTAACACATCCAAAATGTGCTTCATTCCCTGATTTATTGCAAACTAACTTCATCAGGCAAATGACATTCTTTTACATTTAAGCAAATAGACAAAATAAGAAAGACTGATGATATAACATTATAGTAAATGATGTAACATTAGCAGTAAAGTAGGAACCACCTCATGCAGGCAGAAAACAAGAAGGTGATATTTCTTCTTCTTTTGTCAGGATCTGAAGATGATGACCCTGGGGTTTTCTTAGGTCCCAGGGACCAACCAAACAATGGTATTTAAAAGTGGCTTTGCTATCTGGGTGCATTGTGTTGATTTCGCTGATTAAAAAACTTTAAGTCTTTGGCATTCTTGGGATTGACATATTGATGCACTGAAAAAACTGAATGCAGAGATGAGGATGCTTCAGATCATGTGGCAGGTGGATTCCTAGCTGGTCTGTATTATCTAAACTCCTCTGAATTCATCTGGGCATGGCAAATTATGCAACTGAAGGAACTGGCTTAGATGTTCCATTGTGGCTGGCAGTTTCCTTAGCCATAATGATTCTGTTGTGAGGACTTAGCTGGACATCAGTCCCTTATTTAACAACCCATGTTATGGAGTCTGTCACCCAAACTGTCAGACTCAGCAGTGCAAGGGTTGGCATGAAATGCACAGCTGAAGGTTTTACTGGGTGTGCAAGCTGAACACAGCCCACCCCACTCATTCCTCCTGCTTAGGTGTCATCCTTCTAAGTTCGCTATTGAAATTCACTGTGCAGATGGATCACTGTGGAGAATTGTTATTTCTCTTCTAGATTGTCTAAACCTGTGCTACCAGGAGCATTGGAATACATGGAACTGCAATTTTTTTTTATGTGGTTTTGAAGGATTTTTTTAAAATATTACTGAAGTGTTTTGCTTTGAACAGAGGCCAGCAGAAACAGTGCGAACAGTAAAATGTTGATTCCCAAGGATGCCAACCCCTACCTTCCAAACACAAATCTTTCTAATCTTACTAATCATGATACAGGGCTGGGTTTGTCATTTAATCAAACTGTCATCTAATCACTAATTCTGAGTCTACTACTCTGGCTTAATAACATGTGCTTTTATGCATTAATAGTACTTCAGTTTGTTTTTCATTTTCCAGTCACACAACCCTCATGGAGAGGCTTGTGTGACTGACCTCATATGGAGGCTGAATTGCCTCTTGCTGTTGGAAGAGAAGTGAAGGAGAGGGGGAATATCAGAAGCCAATATTAATGTTCAACTATTATAGTTCAATTCCAAAAATCAAGATGCTATTTTTAAAAATGATATATTTTCATGGTATTCCTGGCTTCGGGATTCCCCACAGGTGCAAAGCAGTAAGGGAGGGCAGAAAATCCTTATATATAGAAGGTACTGCTTTGTGTTCAACTCTTAAGACATAATTGAAATTCAGTGATGATTGTTAAGTTTGGGTTGTTTTTTTTAATACACATTCTGTCCTACAAACCTTTGCCATATCTCAATAAAGTTATCAAATTTGGTGGTAGATCCTTAGAACATTAATTTGTTTTGTTCTTTAACAATACTGTGTTTCTTTTAAATGCTTTCTTTCAGACAAGGGGCCAGTTACCAGCCTCCTCCCTTCTCAGGTAAACCATTCCCCAGTGATAAACCACCTCCTTTTAGGAAAGAAGATGAAATTGAATAACAAGTCTCTCAAAAATGCTGTAATTCACATCCCAAGCCATGCTACGGGGAAGATGTCTCCCATTCCCCAAGAAGATCTTAAGACGAAACTGAACTCTCCGTGGCGCACTCACATCCGAGTCCATCGGAAGAACATTGCTAGGGCCAAAGGCCAGCTGGGCTATGGAGATACTGTAGGACTGATAGATGAGCAGAGTGAGAGCTGCAAAACAAATAGTCCTGGTGCAAAGGAGGAGGCTTCCAAACATTCTGACTTTGGAGAAAGAGAAGAAGGTGGTTTGGATGACAGGACTACTCGGAAAGCTGAGCAGCAGTCGTCTGAGGCAGACTCTACGGACAGCAGTACAAACGTGTCCATGGTTCAGCTAAAACTGGAAGCACTGGAACTCACCTCAGATACCCAAACTGATGTGGAGCCAACATCCCATCGGTCCAGCCAGCCATGTTTATCAGAGTCTTCCACTTCATCCAGAGACAGTGGAAACCTGGCTAAATCACCCCAGCCTGGGAACCCAAAGCCACAAGTCTTCAATCCTTTTCCCAGTGTCAAGCCTCTTCGAAAGTCAGCCACAGCCAGGAATTTAGGGCTATATGGCCCCACTGAAAGAACACCAACAGTACACTTCCCACAAATGAGCAGAAGTTTCAATAAATCTGCCAGTGGCAGCAGCGGGACAAGGAAACGATGATGTGCTGATAATCATTATTTCTGACAGCAACAAAAGAATTTGTATTGCCTTTTTTTTAATGTGTGCATGTGTATGTGTGTCCCAAAGCCTTTCTAATTGCTAGTTAAGTAACAGGGACAAAAGTGGTTACCAGCTATATAAATAAGTGACTTTGACAATTGTACTTCCATGATGTTATGGGATAGATTAGTGAAGATGCACTCTGGCACCCTATTGTTAATTCTGATGGTCCTGTGTAAAATAAATATTAATTTACAATGTGAAGCATACTGTTTCTTAAGGTCTAACTCAGACATTAAATCACCAGCTGCCTTTAACCCCTCAGACCCCATGGCTGCCTCCAGTCTAGCTGAGTTCGAAGGACCAATTGTCCAGTGCAGCAGACAGGTGTAACAGTTTTTGTCACTGTTAAGCAGCTTCCCCATCCAACCTCATCATCATACTCTGGGAGTAGCTGGAGAAGCCACCACAAACAGAAGCACAAGCAGCCCTAGCAATTAAAAGTGTCACTTTGTGACATCTGGCTTCAGATATTCTTGAGCAGCATGTTGTGCTTCTCTTCCCACAGCAATTCTCTGCTGATACTATTTTTAATATAAACCTAAACATTGAGCATGAGAACAGCAGACATAAATCCATCCACAACATAGGTTTGCTCTTTCTCTGTTACAGGTGTACATACATACATTTCTGTTACTTACTGCTGGAGAGTTGCAGCACTATAAAATTAGGAATTAGGTACAACTGTTTGTATGGTTGTATGATTATTATTCTGATGCATCTTGGCTTCAATGGATTTAAAAGCTATTATCTAGATTAGACTTGTAGTTAAATAATATTTGCCAGCTTAGCAGTAGGTAAAATATATGAATGTTCCAAAGTAGTTTAGGGGTTTAAATTCTATAAATAGAGTGATTAGATACTTAGAGTGCCACTTCCCATTAAAAGCCAACATATCAGCCACCATGTCGGTGGGATGTGCCCTTGGGCTTCCATGTCTTGGTTCCTCTGTGGTGTGAAAGAAAGTGATAAACTGAGTATTTATTTCCAAATCAAAAAGCAGAGCTGATAAATACTGTAAGACAAGTATTTATATGTATATAACAGAGCCAGACAGAGAAACTAAACCTACATAATTCAACTTCAGGACTGCAAATTCAAGTACTCGAACTCCAAGAAATTCAGTTTGTTCTTAAATCATTGCAGCTCTGTCAGATGGTATGTACTGACTGTGATGCATTACCTTGATTCCAAGTTTCCTGTGGCATGAAAGGGCCAATATTTTAAACTGGAGTAATGATGAATCACACAATCATACATATTATTGTATGTAATATCTTATTTGCTTTAAAAATTCTTTGTTAAATTTGCAAATTAATATATATCATTGTCTATGAATGTATTCCATAACCTATAGTATGTGACACCAGATTTACTGTATACCATAACTTATAAGCTGTACAATATACTCTGTTCATTGTTGTGAGAACAGTTTCATTTTGCTGTTGTTTCATATAAGTGTATGCATATAAAGTAATATACAACTATGAACACTATAATTATAAAACAGATGTAGGTCAGATCTTGCCCCTGCCTTATTTCCAGGCAATAGTAGTATTGTCACTAATGATTACTTACAGCACTAAGTAAATTTAAAATAATGTAGAATTCAGTCTCTGATTATTGACTATATGTGAATTGTTTTTGCACTGAATTAGAAGAAATGGACTTCTCAAAAATTTTCCTGTGAATCATCCTCCCCAATTTTTCTTAGCTTCAGTGTATCACACAGCTGTATGCTGAACCCATACAAATAAAAGGACTGTCAGTCTGTAAAACCTGCTAAAATGGTCCAAGTATGTGCATGGATTTTCAACATTTTATGAAGTAAGCAGTGGGAAATCAGTAAATTATGCATGGATATAGCTCTGGGGAAAGAACAGCACATTCTAATGATTCAGAACTAATAGTAATTTACAAGTGTGCATTCAGGTCTTGGGCTGTTGGAGGAACCACAGCTGCTCAGTGCATTAGTTTGATGGTGCTTGCTGCAGGAAATTCTCTTAAAGTACTACTTGATGAGAAAATAGTGTGTCATGTTAGCTACCTCAAAGGTACATTTCTGCACCTCAAAGGATATTCACTCTCTACCTGAAATACTGTTGGAACATACAGGAAAAACAACTTCATTGCTTAGTACTGAGACAGAACATTAAGATGAGGCTCAGAGAGCCAGGGAACTCCAGAGAAGTTTCCTATTATTTTTCCTTAAACAATCCCTTGAGAAAAAGAGGTCTAGTGATGAAGGAAGTTGTGCTTGGAAGAGTGGCATTGCAGCACTGAGAGTGCTGGCAAGCATGATGGTGGGAATCTGCTCTGTAAACATTTTGTTCTCCTTGAGCCTTCTTGTTCAAATGCTCTCTTCCATGTGACCAAATGACATTTCTGTTTGTTGGGGGCTTTTAAAATTTCTTGAGTTTTGGTTTTTGGAGTTCTTTTGGTGGTGTTTTTTGGTTTTGGTTTTTTTTTTTTCCGTTTGGGTTTGTTTTTTTTTTAAAGGATTTTAATAGGATCATGTTGACTTTTACTTCTGAGCATATGTTTCACCATCATCAAATTAAAGCTTTCAAAGGGCAGGCAATTGATTCCATTTTGCAGACACTTACACATCTGCAAGTGGAAACAGGTCCACAGCTATTCAGAGATTATGAGAAATTGTCTACGCTTTGGGGGTAAAAATAGCAGATAGAAGAGATAAGTTTTTCAGAATTGTTGTTAGCAAAAATTGGTTTCATCCACCACTGCAGCTATTGTGCAAATTCAATTTTGTGTAACTCACAAAAATCCTACCTCCATTCAAAGCAACCTAAGTGGTTACTAGAAAGGCAGCAAAACATTCTTTCATGCAAAAGTAAAATGCAGCCCTTTACATAGCCCCATACATTTCCAACTCGGGTAAAAGCTCATTTTCAAAATTCAAGACTTAAAATCTGTATCAAACTTTCACAACATCTATTTAAAACTGCTTGAAATATTTCATACAGAAATAAGGTGAGTTGTTTCACTGTACTGTAGCTTTCCTTGACCTTCCTTGCAAGGAGTTATCTTGTGCCCATCCATGGGCAGTAGTAGCACCTGGCTGAGTGGCAGGGAGCCAGGATCATTTGACAGCAGCTCCACTGAAGTATGAAGAGATAGAAAACTCATCCAAATGCATCCTTATTCTAGTCAATGCTTCATTTGCTCCAATTTTGCTTGTGTTTAATTGGTGAAAGATTCACTCAAGGCAGGGGGTTGTCCTAGAGGCCTGCCAGTGATCTGAGATGCGCAGTCATGCCAGGCAAGCACCCTCAGGCTGTGTGCCATCAGCCAGCAGGGACTGGGGAGGTGACTGATTTGTCAGGCAGCCAGAACCTTTGCACACCTCTGTGTTAACAGTGGCCTTGGGAAGGTGGGCTCCTTTGTGGGAGGGGGGAATCCAGCGCACTGCAGGAAAATGCATGGGTGAAGGAAGGGTCTCCTCTCACACCCTTCCCCAATGAGGACCCCTCAGGGCTGATATGAGATATTTGACACAGTTTAGGACATAGAAGTGGTTTGCAGGGTCAGACCATGCTCAGGCCCAGCCTCCCCCAGCCTGCAGGATGCCATCTCAGCTGTGCTTTGACCTACAAGCAGCACACAGCACTTGCTGGCTCACCACAGGTTTAGAAAGAACCACAAATGCTTCAAAGTCTTTTTCTGATAAAACTATATCAAACCACACTGGTTTGCCACAAATCAGCAGGCAGGCGTGGTGGTGGCACCAGAGGCAATGCGTGTGGATGGAGAGCTCGAGAGGAGGGAAGGATCGACTCGTCCCGGCAAAAGGTACAAGAAGTTCTGAGGGAAAGCAAACTCCTTGGTGTCTGTGTTTAGGTGTTTAAAAACCTAAACACCTTTTTAGGTTTTTAAATTTTAAACAACAAATCCATGACATGCTACTTCCTGCCCATCTTTGCTGTGTTCAAAGTGATCATGGACTGGTCTGATGCTAGCAAGGTGCACATCCTGCAGTGATACTGTCTGCCCACTTTGTACCCCAGTGGTTGCTCTGCCCTGGCAGAGGGGAGATGCCAGTGGAGAGCCCCCTGATGAGGTTCACTGTGGCTCGCTTCACACTGAGCTATCTAAAAGGGCCTCCTCTCATGGATGTGTATGGGGTTTTGTTCTTGCTTGTTGGTTTTCTGATGTTTTATATTTGTTGGTGTCATGGGGAAATTTTTTGATCTTTTCCTCATTTTTTGAATAATGCATCAGGAAAGACAAATGCTTTCTGCATCTCAGGACTCAATAGTTTTGCAACTATTCCTCTCTGTTTGGCTTGTATTTTGCCTTTGTGAACTCCCAACCCTTGCTGGTATTCATTGTCTGGATGTTTGATGAGAGTTTTCATGAGGATAAGGATAACCATGCTGATTGACTTAGCCCGGTGTCTTTTCTCTGACAACTAATGGAAATGGCCAAGAATGGAGTCCTGCAGGAACACAGCACATCAGAGAACGGCAAGCCTTCCCTTGGGGCAGTCATCCAGTTTTGTCTGGGTTGAGTACAACACATAGAGGTGAGCTGGATGTTGTGCCAGCAGCTCACCCACAGCAGGGTGCTGATCTGGGCAGCTGTGTGCACAGCAGGGACCACAAAACTGGTTCATAAGCAGAATTTCCTCCTTCACATGGAAAGAACAATAATAATGGAGACATGGCCAAGAACGAAAAGAATAATAAACACCACAAAATGTGAGCAGCATTTGTCGTGGTGGTTCCTGCTGGGTGCTGGACTGCCTCTGTGGGCTCCACTTGAGCTTCCAAACTCATGGTGATTCCTCCCTTCCAGGCTGACTGGCCTCCCCTTGCAGGGGACATGACAAGGGACTTAGCTGGAGGGATCCTCCAAAGGGGCAGAAGGTGGGAATGGACTGGAAAGCCTCCCAGGCCCTCAGAGGGTCAGACATGCTGAAAACCCCAGATGCAGTGCATCACACGGCCTGTTCAGTGATGAAGGGCTCATGGGCAGTCGTTCCCAGGCAGGTTTCACCCCCTTTTGGGCACAAACAGTGGTGTTGCTCTGCTCCTGCTGCTCACTGTCCATGATGGCTCCTCCACCCTGCTTTCCTTTCCTAACCATTCCAGCTGCTGTAGATGACACATGGGTACAAACCCAGAGTGAAG